TGCTGATAATTAAGGTAAGAAGCCATAAACTCTTCTTCTTAATGACCATGTGCGTGAGGGTGCGATTTAAATGCAATTTTTAATTCCTTTTTTTGTGCTGTTGCTGCTAGTGGACTTGTAGGGAGTAGAAGATGAATTAAGCTTAAAATTTTTATACCGAAAGCCATGATGGTGATAGCGTGGACTTGATATTGTTATTGAGTTTAATTAATTTTTGATGAAAATTTGATTGAAAAAGCATTAAGCATTAACGCTGTAGGATTGTTGGAAAAAATTTTGAGATGGGATTTGAGGAAGAACATCTAGCATTAAAATTTAAAAATTAGTGTTTATACCGGTTCGATAAATACCATCAATTATTTGAAAACATTATTTAGCAAGTGAAGCAAAGAGTGTTGGCAGAATTTCTTGGAAAAAGAGACTTTTTAGTTGTGAAAAATTATGATGCTAAACATTGACTTATTTACATTGAGGAAAGAATAAATAAGTGATTTAGGATTGCGATTTACTTGTTAGGAAATTAATGGTATCATTAGAATTAAAATGAGAAGCTGAAGTGAACAACCAACTTTATAATTCTTGAAAAACTTTCAAGTGAGCGAGTAATGTTCCAAATAATTTCTTGCAAAATGTTATAAAATTTTTTTATTTAAATTTTATATTATTCCTTTATAAATTATGTAAATACTCTGGTTAATTCTATGTTTATTATATATACTATTCTTCTTACTTAATTTACTTTTATGTTAATTGGTTCATTACAGAATTTGTTTTATTTTCATCAAGAATTATAACTATGTTAAGGAATATTTGGATCTGGTACATTATTAACCAATTATTTATTCTAAGCATTTATGTGGTTTAAATTTTATAATTTATATGGTAATGGTTAGAACAGTAATTCATGCATAGAAAAAAATTGAAAAGAAACTTTGATAGTTGAGTATTATATTTTAAAAGAAATGTTTTTAAATGAATATTTTAAACTTCATGCACGCTTAATTTAATTAAGGAGACTGGGTTCAAAACGTCGGATGCTAGCGGCAGTTTCGTTAGCTCTTAACGCGCCATGGTACACCTAGCTAGCAGGGTGTATTAGAGATGTTAGTCCTGTGCGTCAGCTAACACACGTGGAATGGAGGATATAGTTCTGTGGATATAATCCATGCTTGTTATTTGTGAGCTTCATGTTTGCGCTTGTTTTTCGTGACTTGTTGTCACGCTAGATATGTTACTTACTCTTGTAGACTGGATGTTTACACCTGTTAATCATTCTAATTAAGTCCTATTAAAGAAGGGATTTTGAAATTATTTTCTTTAAATTTAATCTCAAGAAGCAAACTATTATATATATATATATATATATATTTTACTATATGTGAATTTTATATTGAGTAATATCTATACACACACCAAGATGTTTAAGTATGTGCAGAAATTTAATAATTTAAAATTTAAAATTTTAATAATTTCATTTGTATTTATGTATTTTTGGTTTATATTATTTTTCATTGATTATTTTAGTAAATTTATACCTGGCTCATTGATTGTTTTCAATTGTTTCTTTCAACTGTGAATTGGGACGTTACATACTGAATTTTTTTTTTGGTCTCAGATATTGAAATTGACCTAGCACTGCTGATCACTGAGGGACACAACTGTTTTTTGAAACTGTGGAAAACATGTATTAGTTACTTTTGATGTAAATATAATTTATATTATGAAATTGTAACTTAACGCTCCATGTATGCGTCTCCTTTGCTAGATTGATTGGCTAGTTTTGCTATTGTAGGAATTTAGTAAGGTCCAAATTGCAACAGAGAGGTTGCCGAAATTTCTACAAAAATATAAGACTTTATGAATTTTATAAATATATATAAAAAATTATATATCAATAATTTGACTTAATTTTTGGCTATTTAAGGCTTATGAAATGTGAGGTTATTTTATATTTCATGTCGGTTAATATTGGGGTGTAATATATGCATAGTATATTAACAATGTACATATAAGTTACACATGTTATTTTATAACAGGGATTTTTCAACACATAAATTTTGCACTAGATTCTTCACTAATGAACACCCACACGTGTACACAGGAAGAGAGAAATAGAAAAGCCACACCTTATTATCTGCTCACAGACACTGAAATCCCAAATTAAATTATTGACTAGGAATAGATACAATACAAGCTCATCATTTACCTAGTGCAACGTGGTCACTGTTGTAGTATTCAGCGAAAGGAGATGAAGATTCTCCTTTTTCTTAATGAAATCCTATAGTCGCATAGACCGAACTCAATTACAACAAACGAGATTCATATGCCGAACTAGCAAAGCGAGATTGGGTTTTTGAACAATGAAGACACATAAGATGGAAAAAAAGTCTTTCTTTAGCTATATTTGAAGATGAAGAATAAAAAACTAGCAAAATGAACTTCAGATTAGGAGAATTGATTACAGTGGGAGAAGAATACGCTCACGAATGAGACTGGGTTACTCTTCATGAATTGTTGTGAAGGGAGGTAGTTTTTTCACTTTGAAATTGGAAGGCATTATGGACGTCATACATCAAAACTCACTTACAACTAAGTACTTCTATGGCACTCAACCGTGATTTTCCCGTTGTTTTTATCAACCAAGTTCTTTATTTGTTTAATATTAAAAGATACTTTTAATTGAATTATGTATCCTCAATGAGTTAGTTAATTGTTTTTAAAATTACACACTCTTCATATTTATTTTTATTTAATAGGGTATCTCGATTAAAATTATATTAATTATACCCTTAGTTTTTTTTACCAACAATAATACCCTTGGTTAAGAACATTAAAAAAAAAAAAACAAACTCTTTGTTCAATCAACTTAAAATAGAAGCAGTTTTCAACAATAATTCGTATACTAATAAAATCTTTATTCTCCTTTTTTTAACTTTAGTCTCAAATATCAATGATGAATGAAAAGGATGTCATAAATTCATGGATTAATGAGCAAATAGAATTCTAAACTATTGTTTTAAAATCATCCTAAACCCTAAACTTTTAAAATATACAAAATAAATCTTAAATTTTTAAATTCATAGCAAAATAAATCCTGACCGTTAACTTTTTAACATCGTTATTGTCCACACGGGTATTGTAACAGTTAGGGTTAAATTCATAGAAAAATAAACCCTGAACAGTAACGGTGTTAAAAAGTTAACGGTCAGGGCTTATTTTGCTGTGAATTTAAAAGTTTAGGGTTTATTTTGCATATTTTAAGAGTTTATAGTTCAGGACAATTTTCGAGCAATAGTTCAGGATCCTATTTGCTCATTGACCCTAACTTCATACAAGCATCCAGCTAGTTAATCAATACAAATGGGTAAAATGGGAAAAAAATTTTACAACTACAAAGTTGCTTATATTTTGAATCAAAAATAGCTAAAAAAAAAAGGCTTATCTTTGAACTAGAGGGAATATTATTTATAACTTAAAAACTCAAAATATGTTATATTTTTTTAGATTGCTACTCGAAAGAAAATTCTTTAAAATACTTATGCTCTATTTGGATGAGAAAAATCATGAGAAGAGAGAAAACTAGAAGAGAAAATAAGAGGAAAAACAAGTTTTGCTATGTTTGAATGAGGAAAGAAAACAAATTCTCTCTCCACATAGGGAGAGATTTTGAGAAAATTTTTTTTTCCACACTCTATCCTCATGCTTGATTGTTTTGCTTTCTCTGTCTTCACCATCACCCCCAGCCTTCTCCTCCAAAGACAATCATTTTCGCCACTTTCCTTCTCTTGAGTCTGCATCTTCCAGCTTCTTCCTCATCTCGTCACCTTCTCAATTCTCAGTGTCTCGTAGTTGTTGACGTTGTTGCAAGTTCTGGACTCAGCCACGTTTATATCCAATGCTGCATATTTGTACATCACTGCATACACATACCTCTGCGTTGGCTGCTATCATCTGAGCATCTAATTTCTAAACCTGTATATTAATTAAGTGGCTACTGCAAGTACTAAAACAAGGTATTGAAAGGGAAAATAAAATCGCCTTTAAAACATACTTCTAGGAAAAAATTGGTGCAGGCTTATATGGTGGATAATAAAATAAAAAATATTTTTAACAATAAGTGATTTGATTTTAAATTATGTTGATGATGTTAATTTTAATATAATTTTTCTTCAATTTATTTTTATGAAGATAAGTGCAAGAAACACCATATATTGAATATAAGGGTGTTATAGTCATTATAATATTTATTTATTTATTTATTTTTTATTTAATATAACATAATGAGGTGTAACATTTTCTTTTGTGTTTTTTTTGTCCTTTTCTCTCAATTTTTTTTAATGCAAACATAGGGTTAATGGCGGGAGTATCCAGTTGTTAAAATTGAGAAGGCAGTTGCACGGCAGGCTTGAAGTCAGCACTCAGAGATTTTCAATGGATCTCCAGAGATGTGCAGTGCCGTCGTTCAAGGAGACACTACGAAAAAATTTCCATCGCTAATCCGTCGCTAATTTTATCACTAATTTATTGATAAAATTTAATGACAGAGCATTCTGTTACTAAAAAATTAGTAGCTATTTCATTGGTAAACTATCAAAAATAATTTTACCAATGGCATCTAGCAATGAAATATTCTGTTGCTAAAATTCTGTTTCTATTCTCGCTAAACCATCAACAATAATTTAGCGATGAAATTTTTTAGTGGAAATGTCTGTTGATAATTTTTGGGATTTGTTATTTTCATTTTATGACACCATTTTCCTTCTAAATCTTTTTGTCATAATTTCATTGTTAATTCCATCGCAAATTGTTTTAAATTTTATTATATGATTTCTAGTATATATTTATATATAATTTATTTAATAATTTATTATTATACTAAAATAAATAATTTAAT